ATATAACATATATATATAGCCAAACATCTTTTAAAAGTAAGCATAGAAACAAAGTATAAAATATAATTCTGTCTTCATTACTTTTTTGTCATTGCTGAAACAAAACCTGAAATACCCGATGCCCAAAATTAAGGAATAAAGGGTTTATTTAGTTCATGGCTTGTGGAGGTTTTAATCCATACTCAGCTGGCTCCAAGGCAGAGTGGCACATGGAAGAGGATAATGGTTCATGGTCACAGAAAACAGCAAAGGCAACAAGAGCAAAAAGGGAGGAACAAATAGAAAAGGTACCCAACTTTATGTTGAAAATGAAGCTCAGAGTTTGCAACTTGGCCAATGCCAATTTACTATTCGTAAGATGCAGTAAGGAGGGTTCAGAATTCAAATATATACCTGCTTGCTCTAAAACCAGTTTTTCTTCTGTATCATACAGAGATCATAATCACTTTAACTATTCAAAAAAATAAAATCAGAGAGGCCTTCCCTCCCCTAATCCCAGTGAAATATGTGATAATTCTAAGCTATCCCAAAGAAGGTACCATTCCTTCTAAGGCTTTATTTACAACTATTTCTGGAGTAAACGATACATATCCTAGCCTTCAGGAAGCAACAGTCAGAATAATAAAGTCAAGCTAGCAAGATCACAGATCACATACAAGCAGAGACTGCCAGAGAATTACAATTTAAAAATACTATTTACAACAGTTATTGATAATAAAACACTCAAATAAATTTTTAATACTTGAGGGTAACTTCTGTAAGAAATATTGACTCAAATAAATGTGAGGTATACTGTGGTCATGAATTAGAAGGCTCAATAATATTGTCAACCATCCCAAATTGATCTATACATTTACCGCCTGGGTGTGTTAGCTTTCCATCAGTGTGGCAAAGTATTTCCCAGTAGCTTGGTGGGCTGACTAAATGGGGTTCTGGGATACAACCAAGATCTAAGCTATAGCATGGCAACTTGGTGGGAGAAGAAAGCCTTTTCAACAAATAGTGCTTTAACTGCTTTGACAATAGGGGGTAGGAGTTCTAACCATGATCCTATCTTCATGCTACACAGATAAAGTAACAAGAAATCAATTATAAACTTCAAAAAGTCTAAAACTATATAGTTACCGAGTGAAAACTTCAAATACTATCTTGTCGAGTTGCTTTTTTTAAAGAATAAAAAACATACAGGAAAAGACTAATTCAGCTTCAGAAAAGTCAAAATCTTCGGCCCATTAAATGATGCTGTCAAGATACTGGAAGAAAATGCTTGTTAAACATGTCTGACACAGAATTAGCATTGCAATAAATAATGAACACACGAAATTTAATCATTAAAAGATGTGTTACTTTTCTAAATAAACTGAATACTTAAAAGAGGAAAGAAAGACATTATGATGCATAATTTGAATGTGAAAAAAGAAGATCATTGGTTACCATAGGCTGAGCATGGCAGGTAAGGACAGGGGCTGATTGGGATGTGTATGAAGAAATTATTTCCACTGATGAAAATGTTCTGTATTTTGACAAGGCCTTACATTACATAAAAATTTGCATTTTCTAAATACATAGAATAGAACACTTAAAATGTATGGATTTCAATTTTTACATAACAGATCGAATTTGTTAATGATATGCACTTGGAAGTTCCAGGAGTACCACCTGTGTTCCTACCTTTAAACGCTCTAAAGTAGGATGTACTGATGGATGAATAGATGGACACTTACATGACAAAGGAAACATAACAAACAGTTAAGAATTATAGGATCCAGGTTGATGGTGTGTCAGTGTTCATTATATTATTCTTTAAATTTTTCTGTATGTCTGAAGTTTTGCACAAGAAAGTTTTGGGTTAGGGGACAAAAATAGAAACTGCTTTCCAATATCCTTATATCATGGTCTACTTTCTCTTTTTTCTCCACAGCTAGCTGCTTCTAAAAACACAGTTGCTTACATATTATGCTTATTTTTTAATCTCCCTTGGTATTCCACAAAGACAGAAATTTTTGTCTTATCTTCTTCAGTGATATATTCCAGAGCCACATAATAGTGCCTGGAAGATAGAAGATGCTCAATAAAGAGCTTTTGAATACATGACTACTATTATCTTTAGCTTACAGATGAAACCATGAAGAGAAAGCCAGTGGACAACTGGGAATAATTAGAATTGGTACTACGAGGAAAGAATATCCAATTCTTCTATATATCATCTGACATCCTTCTTTTAAAAATATAAAGAGAAAACACAGGTATGTTTCACTACAGTCTTTGTTGATATCTTTGCGTCTACATTTTAGATGCTTGGCACTGTTATATCCTCCAATATAGCTTTAAAGTAAAAGATTCATATTTCTTTCTCTTTTTTTCATTTATTTATTCCTTTTAGGACCTGAACAAAATGCTCCAGGCAAAACTTTATGCTACTGAATTAATGTCTACACTCACAGTATGAGTGTTGGCCTTTAGAAATTCAGTCATTTATCCACCCAACAAATACTTCTATGTGTCCAGTGGGGGATTAGCATATATAAGTGAGCCGAAAGACAGAACTCTTGCCCTGTAGAATTTACATGCTAATGGAATATTGTCTGCCTAATCAAATTATTTAGCTATAGTTTCTTTTCTTTTCTTTTTTTTTTCTTTTCTGGTACCAGGAATCAAACTCAGGATCTTGTGCTTGCCAACAAGGCCCTGTGCCTCTGACCTATGTCCCTGCCCTAGCTATGGTTTCTTAATGGAGTCAATTACATAATTCTTGAAGCCATGTTCACTGCTCTCAAGCCCATAAATGCTCCCTGGGTTCTAGATCAAATTTCAAGATGGAAAACACTTCCCAGGTGCCTAGCACTTGCCCAATAACATCCTTGGGTTGTTTCATCATCAAAGGTGAGAGGATAGAAAAGGAATGAACATCTACACTGCCTTTGGGGGCTACTCCACCCCTGGTTTGATAATGCTTGCCACTTAGAGGTAGACAGGGAGTGTTCTCTAGGCCAAAGGGCTGGGTCTGGCTCCACACCCTGCCTCAGCCTCCTTCTCCTACACCTCAGAAACCAGCAAGGAGGTCTCCAGATAGGCTGATTCCCAGGCTGTGGCAAACACACTCATACCCTGAAAAGGCTGCTCACCTTTGCCCTGAATGATTCTCTTGCATGAGCTGAAAGGTACAGGGAGAGCCAGCAAGTGCCTGTGCTTCTAAAGCAGTGTTGAAAACACCTTGATTTATTAACCCCTTGGTTTCCAGGGCACTGAACACAGTAACTTCTATTGAATACACATTATTGCCCTCAACAGAGTCAATATTCTACAGAGGAGAAGATGTAGGTAAGGGAGTAAGGTTAACCCGGTGGAGTATCTACTAAATTCACAAGAGGACAGGTAAAGTGCTGCATTCTGGATGCCTAGCA